ACCCCACTAGTGTCAACACGGCTATATTCAAGGAGGCCCGTTAGTACTGAACGATACTTTTAAAATATTAATTACAATATTAACTGATTATAAACCTGATGCTCGGTTGAAAGGCTTTTTTTATACTTCTATAAGGACGTATTCCGACATGTATTGGACTATGAGGTGAGCCGCTGAAATAATACACAACAATGGAAAGCGTACCGTCAGAATGCGCACGAAAGCCGCCGGTGGTAGTAGTACTCGCAGTGCTTCGCAATGTCACGGGAGTAGTACTAGCCTATGCCAAGGACTCGCAACAGCTAAATTAGACAAGGAAAGACCTTGTGAGAGAGTAAAAGAAAGCGTTAAAACGTGTTCAAACACACTCGCACTGACGCGCAAAAACACTACGCAAAGGTTGTTCATGTCAATAAGGACGTACATGCAGCAAAAGTTGCAAATGACCCACCTTTATGAGCCGTCCTAGCAGCGGGCTGATGACAGCGCGTGTAGTAAGTCCGAGTAATAGTGGTGGTTACCGAATAAAGTATTAATTTGTTTGTTTTTACATTGGCGCCGTGACGTTATTACTCGCTAGTACTGTAGGTAGTGCATTCCTTCCTCGAGCGTAATCCTGCCAGTGCGTAACGCAGTGCATGAGTGCCAGTCTGCTCTGTTCAAGTTGCTCAAACTCATGCCATTCAGTCCAAACAATTCGGAAAGGGATACGTTATTAAATTACTCAAAAGCTTGGTTTGAACGCTGTGTTTAAAACATTTGACAAAGTTTAACTCTGCATCCCCACCCCTTTCCTTCTTCTTGCTCTAGGTCCTTCCTTGATATTTTAGTGAGCGGATTTGTTCTCCATTTGTCTTTTGCACACAACATTCGTGTCTAAAATACTGGTTGTCACTAATATTAGCGGTGGATTCGTTTGAGTGATAACTACTTACCAAAACAGCAGAAATACTTAGGAGGTAACCGATGAATTTACGGTGCAAATTGCAGATGGGCTCTGTCCTTTCGTCTGAAGTGGCGAGCAACGTCCATCCATGTCTTCTGTCTGTCGGGAAATGTACTTTATATCGGTCCTCCGTAAAACATCTTCGCCCCCCTCCCAACAGCAACTAAAACAGGGATTAAGAACTATATGAATCCCTTTTCCACTACAGTCACAAAATGGTGAATCCTCGAGCGTAATCCTGCCAGTGCGTAACGCAGTGCATGAGTGCCAGTCTGCTCTGTTCAAGTTGCTCAAACTCATGCCATTCAGTCCAAACAATTATGAAAGGGAGAACTTAATAATTTACTCAAAAGCTTGGTTTGAACGCTGTGTTTAAAACATTTGACAAAGTTTAACTCTGCATCCCCACCCCTTTCCTTCTTCTTGCTCTAGGTCCTTCCTTGATATTTTAGTGAGCGGATTTGTTCTCCATTTGTCTTTTGCACACAACATTCGTGTCTAAAATACTGGTTGTCACTAATATTAGCGGTGGATTCGTTTGAGTGATAACTACTTACCAAAACAGCAGAAATACTTAGGAGGTAACCGATGAATTTACGGTGCAAATTGCAGATGGGCTCTGTCCTTTCGTCTGAAGTGGCGAGCAACGTCCATCCATGTCTTCTGTCTGTCGGGAAATGTACTTTATATCGGTCCTCCGTAAAACATCTTCGCCCCCCTCCCAACAGCAACTAAAACAGGGATTAAGAACTATATGAATCCCTTTTCCACTACAGTCACAAAATGGTGAATGAACCACTAACAGCTGGCCCGCCTGGCCAATCAGAGCGCACTGACAGATACAGTAACCTATGGACGTGACGGCACAAACTTAGAGGCGTTTCTCAGTGGTTTATTCCATTTGATTGGCAGGCGCTTTGGCCCAATCGCAATGAAACTAGATACCAAGCCGGCGCTCACTCCAAAAGTTACAGTATCCAATGAGAGCGCTGGGAACCATAGGAACAGGGTGTGGGCGGGCACTAGGGAAGTGTTCAAGAAGCGCTGGCCAATAACGCGATACGAGTGTTCGCTCCCTAAAAAAAGGTGCGTGTTTACCACAAACGACAGCGCAACACTTCATCCTAAAATCACTAGTTTTTCACTTCCCCTGAACTGCAAGAAATGTTTGTAAACTAAAAGAAAAACTCGCACGTTTCAGTTTAATACTATTTGCTATACTAAAATTTAGTAATCTGTTAAATTCTGAGGATTAAAAAGAAAGGTAAAATCACTAAACGGATTCGGTTAATCACAATAAAGCCACCCTTGTGCGGTTCCCTGACTAACCATTTCACTTTCACACTACTGTGCTTGTGAATACGGGATGAACTGTTGTCTCTCTCTCTCTCTCTCAATTTTTTCCACTCTGCCTCGCTTTTCTCTCAGCAACAGCCCCTCACCTCGTGTGCGAGAGCCAATCGTTGCGCCGCAATCCGCTGTCTCTAACGTATGTGCCGTTGTGCCCCGCCCCATCCATACAACCCTTGCAGGATTTTGGAGGTGACGTCATCGTGCCGCTGTGTGATTGGCCAGAGGCGCCGCGTCGACGAGCCAATGATCAAACTCAGCGATGAAGTCATGAAGCATGTTGCCACCAGCTGGATGGAAGGGGCGTGGCCTGACATACTCGCCTAACCCCGTGCTTGATGCGTAGTAGGACAACATACTAGTGACTGATAAGCCATCGTTTTAAAACACGTCAGAAAACCAAGTAGTGTACTTTAAAATTTTGTTCAAATACAAATACTGTTTTGAAACTTTTTTTTTTCAAACGTAGCCCATCCGAGCACAGAAAACCAAATTCAGACATACTGACGCATTGAAGCGTACATCTACATTATCGAATGAATGTTCGTTGTGAATTTCCTTTGAGAAGCAAAGACGTCGTTACATAATCGCTGTTGCAGCCAGAATCAAGTACTCTCAAGCGCCATCCTCAAATGTTAAAGCAATGTACAGCGACCTCTGTCGGTTATATCTTGATAAACACAAAACTGTAAAACTATAAACATACGTGCACGCGCCACTGTGTGGTGGCTTAGGGGGATTCAAAACACTAAGAATAAGGTAAACTTTTTTTGTGCACTTTTCATAAATCAAGACGAAAATGGAGAATTTAAAATAAAGCACTTTTTGTAGCAATCGAGTATCTTAAAGTGTCATACCCCCTTATTAGCACTTATTCTCCCCAGAGCCCTGCCCTTTGACCTGACCCCCTCCATGATGACAACCCCTTTATTTTGGCTCTGCAAAGCTGTGTCAATCAGCCGTCATACATCTATCCCTCTTCCCTACACTCCCACTGTGTAGACTACACTCCCACTGTGTACAGGGAACTGCATTCCCTCCTCTAGTTCTCTGAAATGCAGACAACTACTGAAGCGATAAAAGAAGTAAAAGGGAGACGACAGACAGAGAATGTGACAAAACAAAACATGACAGGGATGATGAGATGAACCAGAGGCAGAAATATAATCACAGGTTTCATTTGAATCCCACAACCGGTCTATTGAAGTTTTATTCAGTCAGTGCTCATAAAGAACATTGATTTGAACAAGTAGACAGACCTGATGCCTACTGATTAAGTTAAATTGGTAGTGGATAAAAAAAGGTTACTAGTAAATGTGAATTAAGGTCATCAGACAATGTCAAGTTCAACGTTCACGTAAAATGGTCCATCTGAACTTGTTCTTTAAAGAGTTACATCTTTGTGTATATTGTCTCTCTCGGTTTGCTACTTTCACCTTCACAGACACTTAATAAGAAAGCAGATGCTATAAAGTGAGAGAAAAAAAGGTTTACTGGTCTTTGGTAGACAAAAACTGACAGATATGTGCAGCGGCCCCTCATAACACAATCATAATAGAATTAGCAAAATATGTCTTGCTTAACATGACATTCATATACCTCTAAAATTAAACTAAATATTTAAATATTTTATTTAGCAATATTACTTACATGTACTTTCATATTTAGAATACATATATCATTTGTAAGCAGGAAAAGATGTCTCTAAGGATGTCTCTAAAAATCAATATTGATGATTTTAAATGGTTGATAACGCTTGTACTTCTGCTCTTCAGACAGCAGAGGTCAGTCTTAAAAAGTCTATGTTATATATTATATCAACAGGCTGGATACACAACATGAATTTAATAAATAAAGAACTTCTCAACTGCTAATGGTCATCTAAAGCATATTGCTTTGCTTGGAATCATATTTATTTCTTTATTGACTTGTTAATAATTTTGTCATGCTTGCACTGCATCAAATTGTAGATCTACAGACACGTTGGCCTCCTGACATGCTAGTTATTGAAATAAAAAATAACAAAAGGTTGCAGAAACCAGATGGCTTTTAACCAGTTTAATTGACCCCGATTACATTTTAATTACAATTCTGAAAAAGAACACAAAAAAAAATGAAAAAAGGAGGAATTAAAATGTTACATCATGGTAATAAAACCTGTTATTATGAATTATGGAACCACAGAAAAAAATTTTAAGAAAGAAAGTGAGAGAGATACTTTTACACAATAAAACAATACACAATATATCTTTTAAAATCATACAATCCCCCGATGAAAAAAATGTACAAGAGCAAGAAATCAGTAACACTACAAAATAACAATTACATGACATGACTTGAGTTCAAATCATAAGGCCGATCCTCCCCTGAATGCCCTTCCTCCATCCTATATCTCTCCACAATAACCACCTATATTAAAGTTACAGTTTTACGTTAATTTACAAAAGTTTAAATGTTACACTAAACACACTGTCGGGTTGCTCGTGGGAAGGCAGGGGTGGGGGGAAACATTCTTAAAAGGATCTCTTACAGTATTGTATACAATGTTCTCATGACTACTATATGAGGAGAATATGTCAACAAAATAATGATAACTAATAATAATTAGGATGAACAGCAACATTGACATCAGAGAGCACATAAACAGGAGCAGTTCGGGTGAAAAACAAAACAAAACAAAACATCATTCGACTTGAAAAAGTGACATCCTGGGATAACCGATGAGAGCAGCCTAAGAGAAAACAAATAACTTCCCTCCTAAAGAGAAACAATGCACACACTTTGTGCCCAAACAAAAGTTTACAAGACTGCACTGGTCAATACTGCTCACCCCATCTCAATTTATTTTATTTTTTTTTATTTTGAGGTATGCCGGGCGTGCACCCTAGTTAAAGACTTGACTAATTGATTAAGAAAGAAAGAGGAGATCTGAAACATAATCAAATCTGATTAAAGTGGGAATAAGGCAGCTAGAAAGAGTCCAAAACTTTGAGGAGGTAACCCGTTGCCAGTTCAATTTTGTTTGATGTATTATCTTAGGTATTAGGGACACTTAAGCCATGATATAACTCCTTCCTGTCACTGTAAAACCATTATATCATGGCTAGTGTCCGACTGGCCACCCTCTTGATGTCTCAAGTCCTGTGCTCAACTTCCACAGGGCTTTAGTGCACACAGGTTTATGAGGTTCATGATGCAAGATTTCAAAAGAATTACAGCCTTGGGTGTGGTGTTACATACATGCACAGAGACCTGCAGCCTCTCTCAAACACACACACACACATAAGTTGTGGCAGTAAGAACAGGATGTTGAAGAGGTGCGTGCTGGTTAAAGAACCGAATGTGCCACATCATCTGTGGTGCAAAGCTCTTGTGCTTTGTTAGAGTCTTATGTACAATTTATTCTTTCGCTCCTTGACCCTACCTTTTATTAACCTGACAAGAAAAGCAACATTTTCCTCCCTTACCCAAATAGCAACATTATCCCTGAGGTGAAGAGTCAACCTTCCCCTCAAAACGAAATCTGATACAAACCCCCTGAAATTGATATATCTGTTAATGCTATGCTTTCCGTTTATAGTATGTGCAACACATAATATATAAAGGTATATTGAATGTATACTGTTCTTTTTTTAAGATTTTTGTTTTTCCTTGTCAGACATGCTATTAAAACAAGGCATAAGAGGCAGAGTGTGTGTATGTGTGTGTGTGTGTGTGTGTGTGTGTGCGCAAGAGAGCGACTTCTGGCCACACATGCCTTCTACTGTCTTTCTATTCTTAAATTAGTATTTAAATGTAAGGGATTATGGATTGAAACTGCTATTTCACCTCCCCCAGTCCATAGTAAGATCTCATAGAGGTCCAAGGACTGAGGACAGTTAATCAGGACAAAGAATCAGCACTTGGTTCTAAATGGTACATCAAGCGCCAAAATAGTTAAACTTTGAGCCCCAGACGGTCTAGTATCACTGTACAAGCTTGTGTGCGTGTGTGTGTGGGATGCTGGTTTGGTTCACACTTAAAGGACTGACTATACAAGGGAAGCTTGTTATAAACTCCCTAATGTGTATTACCTTCAGACTGTCGTTTCAAAGACTAACCAACTAAGGAACTAGCCATTTAAGATATTTAGGAGTATGGTCTCTGAACCGCATGTTATGCCCGAGTCATTTCGTCCCCAATGGAATGAAAGTGATTCAGGTATGGTCCCAGAGGAAAAAAAGAGAACGGAAGAGAGTTTTAAGGTGAGCTGGTTTGGACAGAAAAGGAAAGGAGGGAGATTTCCTGAGAACTTACACACAGCTAGATTTCCGAAACACACACAATCAAACTCGAATCAGACACTTCATACAAGGAATAAGAAAGGGGTCATGTCTGAGTGTGTGTGTGTGTGTGTGTGCGTTGAGGGATTTTGTCCCTGAGGGTTCGGACTTCTGACCAGGCTGGTTTTAGAACAGAGTCTGTTTGTGACTTTCTGTGCATTTGTATCCCACCACATCACATGCAGACTGATCACAGTCTGTTGCTGAGGAAAATAATGCTGGGCTGCTGGAGAAGAAGATCAAGCCCCTCAAACCAGACCTTTCAAACCAGTCTTTCTGACACCCATCTCTAGTTCTCTTTGTGGGATTTTGAGGGACAGCTCACAGGCACTTTGCAAAATAAAATTATCTTCTAAAAATATAAAATATTCTCTAGTGCCAAAGGTCAAATTCATGACTCCTGAGGGTCGCTGGGGCACGTGGGTGAACTCATTCTTCATAACGGTCACAATGAGATGTACTGGAACATGTGCTGGAGAACCCCTCGTCTGAAGCTGAGGGCGGCGGGGGAACGAGGGTAGCCTGGGGAACGGGATTAAATTAAGCAAGGGTCGGTTAGTCTAAGTGTGAAGAGTATGTGTCAGTATTACTGTTGTTAGTAGCAGCAGTCATTGATTTAAAAAGTCACGTGTGAGTGTGGGTCCATCAGCAGTTGTCGAGTTGTGTATCAGCAGTTGTCTAAGTGTGTCGATGCGTATCAGCACTCCTTGTTCTCCAGTGACAGCTGTGCAATTTATTCTTTCGCTCCTTGACCCTACCTTTTATTAACCTGACAAGAAAAGCAACATTTTCCTCCCTTACCCAAATAGCAACATTATCCCTGAGGTGAAGAGTCAACCTTCCCCTCAAAACGAAATCTGATACAAACCCCCTGAAATTGATATATCTGTTAATGCTATGCTTTCCGTTTATAGTATGTGCAACACATAATATATAAAGGTATATTGAATGTATACTGTTCTTTTTTTAAGATTTTTGTTTTTCCTTGTCAGACATGCTATTAAAACAAGGCATAAGAGGCAGAGTGTGTGTATGTGTGTGTGTGTGTGTGTGTGTGTGTGCGCAAGAGAGCGACTTCTGGCCACACATGCCTTCTACTGTCTTTCTATTCTTAAATTAGTATTTAAATGTAAGGGATTATGGATTGAAACTGCTATTTCACCTCCCCCAGTCCATAGTAAGATCTCATAGAGGTCCAAGGACTGAGGACAGTTAATCAGGACAAAGAATCAGCACTTGGTTCTAAATGGTACATCAAGCGCCAAAATAGTTAAACTTTGAGCCCCAGACGGTCTAGTATCACTGTACAAGCTTGTGTGCGTGTGTGTGTGGGATGCTGGTTTGGTTCACACTTAAAGGACTGACTATACAAGGGAAGCTTGTTATAAACTCCCTAATGTGTATTACCTTCAGACTGTCGTTTCAAAGACTAACCAACTAAGGAACTAGCCATTTAAGATATTTAGGAGTATGGTCTCTGAACCGCATGTTATGCCCGAGTCATTTCGTCCCCAATGGAATGAAAGTGATTCAGGTATGGTCCCAGAGGAAAAAAAGAGAACGGAAGAGAGTTTTAAGGTGAGCTGGTTTGGACAGAAAAGGAAAGGAGGGAGATTTCCTGAGAACTTACACACAGCTAGATTTCCGAAACACACACAATCAAACTCGAATCAGACACTTCATACAAGGAATAAGAAAGGGGTCATGTCTGAGTGTGTGTGTGTGTGTGTGTGCGTTGAGGGATTTTGTCCCTGAGGGTTCGGACTTCTGACCAGGCTGGTTTTAGAACAGAGTCTGTTTGTGACTTTCTGTGCATTTGTATCCCACCACATCACATGCAGACTGATCACAGTCTGTTGCTGAGGAAAATAATGCTGGGCTGCTGGAGAAGAAGATCAAGCCCCTCAAACCAGACCTTTCAAACCAGTCTTTCTGACACCCATCTCTAGTTCTCTTTGTGGGATTTTGAGGGACAGCTCACAGGCACTTTGCAAAATAAAATTATCTTCTAAAAATATAAAATATTCTCTAGTGCCAAAGGTCAAATTCATGACTCCTGAGGGTCGCTGGGGCACGTGGGTGAACTCATTCTTCATAACGGTCACAATGAGATGTACTGGAACATGTGCTGGAGAACCCCTCGTCTGAAGCTGAGGGCGGCGGGGGAACGAGGGTAGCCTGGGGAACGGGATTAAATTAAGCAAGGGTCGGTTAGTCTAAGTGTGAAGAGTATGTGTCAGTATTACTGTTGTTAGTAGCAGCAGTCATTGATTTAAAAAGTCACGTGTGAGTGTGGGTCCATCAGCAGTTGTCGAGTTGTGTATCAGCAGTCGTCTAGGTGTGTCGATGCGTATCAGCACTCCTTGTTCTCCAGTGACAGCTGTGCCGTGGCTCGGTGGAGCTCGGTGCTAACTCTATGATGAGCGAGAGGAGGTGGGCTCTCTGCCTCTCCACTCCCACTCTCACTCTCCTCCACCATCCCATTCCTCTCGCTCCCCCTCTCTTCTCCTCTCACTTTCTTGTCCTCCGCCTCTTCCATGTGCTGGTCCTGATCCCAGCGCCGTTTGAACCGGAGCTTCAGTGGGATGCACTGGGAGTTGGTTTGTGGCAGCTGCATGTCCGCAGGCTCCACGGGTTCGCTCTTCACAATGGAGTTACTACGGCGACCATCACCTGAGGAAGAGGTGGGAGGGATGAAGAAGGGTGGAGGTGCGGGGGCTTTGAACACCTCTTCCTCCAAGTCCTCATCTGGGTGGAGAGCGGCATCAGTGCCGTTGGGCTGTTGGTGCTTTTGGCTGTGTGGATAATGATTATGGTGATGATGATGACGGTGTTTATGGTAGTGAGAGGGGAAAACATCAAACTCTTCATCTCTTTCATCAGCTTCTTCATCACTGACGTCAGTTACTTCGACTTCCTCTTCTGATTCAATGTCAGATATGGGCTCAACCTATAGAGAGAAAGAGTGCATGTAGTGTCAAAGCAGAGTTGGGTGTTCCTGACTAATTCCCATGAATTTTCCAGTTGCTTGTGATGACTGAAAAAATTGTTTTTGCACTACAGATCATAATTTCAATGCAAATAAATAATTTATAACTATGCATAACTACAACTAGATTGTGCAAAATTGTATTTCTATTAGTTTTCCGGGCCTGGAAATGACACTTTTGAAATAACCTATCTTTAGGTTTTCTAGGACTGTGGGAACTCTGACTTTAGGTCTGTTAAAATTAAGCATCAGAAAAGTAAAACAGTGACTATTTATAAAACCATTTTAGTCTGAATCAGATTTTTTTTAGGTCATTCCCTAAAAAGTTTGGATAGATTAATGGAATGTTCGGCACTGTTCAATGAAGCCCTCAAAATATTTCGATAGTTAAATAATTTCTGACTTGTCAAGGAAATATTAGAGATGTATTGCTTCATTTTTAGTGTTGAACATTTGGAGTTGATGTAAACAACCATTCAGTACATTTACATACACTATAAAAGTTTTGCGTAAACGTTTTAATGCTGGAATACACTTCATGAATTCTGCCCAGATTTTTGCCCTGATTTGCAGTATGGAGAATCAATGCTAGCTGCCGAAAGTCAGAGCCAGACTTTGGACAGTCAGAGTTTACAGATTTCACAGAAAATTGCGTAGTGTATCATGGGCACATACTCTAGATTTTTCTAGATTTTTTCATATCAAATATCAAACATGTCATCATGTTTGATATTTTGAGCCAGTTTTAAAACACTGTTTTGTTGTGTTTGGAACTACTTGCAGTGTGTGATCCTCAGTTGTTTGTTCTCTAACAAACTCTAAGTAGCAGGTAGCAAGTAGCAATTATAACTGTGCATGTGATTGTATAGATCATAATTCCTGATTACCTTAATCTTGGGCAACCCCGCGCTGTTTAGCGAGCCGGTTGAGGAGGAGTTGGACACCAGTCCTGATCCGCTGGCTGAACTGAGGTCACTCCCAAACGACAACGAGGAACCCAGACCAGATGTAGATGTGGAGGACAGCGAGGCCTGTCGACCCTGACTGTCGCGCTGTTTTCGGCCCAATGGGGGAGGCTGGAGTTTGAACTTGAATGGAGAATGGTGCTGTTCCTCCCCCAGGTGATGGTGAATAGGGTGAGCGTGAGGTGGCGGGAGGATGGAGTGATGGCTGTTGAGCACCGAAGGCCTCTCGGCAGGACCACGATCACAGCCCTGGGGTCCGGGCATGCCTTTGTCGGGGCGCTGAGGCTGAGGAACGATGATGTTTGGGTAATGAAAGAAGGCACGAGGGCTCAGGTGGTAATTGTAGACGCTCTGGGTGTGAGCCTGCAGGTAGCGCTGCATGTCCTCTGGGTTGAAGGAGAAGATGGAGCCAGGCATGGGCGACAGGGTAGGGGAGGGAGTGTAGGCCAGGTGAGAGCCTGGGGTCATGGAGAGTGCCGGCGAGAGAGGTGGCACCAACAGGCCTGGACCTCCCGGACCGGACAGAGGCGAGACGGTGAATGGCGAGAGAGGCTCGGGATGAACCCTGTGTCCGCCAACCTCTGACACTCGATGACCTCTGTGACCGCCCGGTCCACCGTACATCCTGAACATAGCCTCGTGAGACAGACGAGGGTGAACAGCACCTCGGAAACTGCCACCTCCTCCACCTCTCTCAGCCACTCTTTCAGTCACTCTCTCCTCTGCCGCACCTCCGTTCCCATCTTCGATCTCAGAGTTGACAGAAGTTCCATCGCTGCAGTCAGAGACAGACCCACGGGCGATGCGGCGGCCGCTGAACATCCCCGGACTGCGCAATTCTTCACTGCTGGGGGACCGCAGCACTTCAGACACCTGCATGTCTGAAGGAGTGGATGGAGGGAAACGGAAATGGGGACCTGTAGGCACTGGTGGAGCACTTTGAGGAACAGCTGCTCCTGCGGAGAGACAAACACAGGTAGAGGTCTTAATTGAGTTTTGCATTTTATTATGTAAACAAATGTATGTGATTTGTGTGTCCTCGTTTTGTACCTGCAGACCCCATATCAATGAAAGGGTAGTTGACCAGGACCAGCTTGTTGAAATTAAACTTGTAGGTGAAGCGTTTTCCTTTAGTTTTATGTAGAATTCTCTTGTTGTAATAATACCTGCAGAAAGACAAGCAGGACACATTAGCCTACTCTGAAATCAAATTTAACCTGAAATAAGGTATTGGATTATTAAAAGTTTAAAACAAAGAAATGTTAAGATGTAAAATGAATAAGAAAAAATCCAGATTCCGCACTAATCAAATAAGTAAATGTACGATATTGATGATATATACTCTATGTACAGACAATCATATGTTCTTGCTTCCAGTGAAGCACAAGATGCTCTTTGGATCATCTCAAATCATCCTGGAGAACATGCACATCAGATTTGACACAAACTTGTGGAGTTCATGCAGCTTGAGTGATGCTATCGGAAAATGGGACAAATTAAATACAAAGTCATTGTCATTTAAAGGAGACAAATTATGCCTCAGCTCAAAATACCCCACAGATCATTTACATCATTTTGTTTATTTTAGATCTGTGTGGTAGCAGCAATATACAGTAAATAAATCTCTTGTCTCCTCTGAGGGTGGGACTCTAAACAGTGTTCTGTGTTCATCTGTGCAGCCAAAGACAGAACAGTTAGCATGTTTTGCTTAAAATTTCGCCATGGCGTTAGAACTGGTATACCGTTGTCACTTGCGAAATCAAATGACAGTGCCGTGAGTGGAAACTTACAGATTAAGGGGCAGTAATATTATAATGAGATCCCTTTGCCACGTCACCAAGGGAGCGAAATCAGATGCGCTATAATATATATTATATATATTATTTTTATATTATATATAATTTGTAAGAAAATCTGAAAAAAATAAATTACTTAATTTAAATTCAATTAAATAATAAATTTGCACACACACATTCATATATATATATATATATATATATACAGTGGCCTCCACTAATATTGGCACCCTTAGTAAATATTAGCAAAGGCGGCTGTGAAAATAAATCTGCATTGTTTATCCTTTTGATCTTTCATTCAAA